TAATCCCTGCCCTGTGAAAGGTGGAGACAGGAAGTTCAGAAATTCAAAGTGATCAAATGACATACAGTGAGTTCCAGGGCAGCCTGGGCTACTCTGCCTCAAACAAAAATGAGAAACCAAGGCTCTGTTGCCAAGGCTGCTGCTGGGGGGTTTTAGGAATGACCCCTTCACAAGGGCACCCTTCCACCATCCTCATTATGATGACCCATTCCAATGCACCCACAAGACCTTTGGGTACCAGCTAAGTGTGTCATGTTTTTGTAACCTCCTAACTTCCTTCACCTCAGCATTTTGCTACCACCACAGGGTATGTACCCCGCTTTCCCTCTCACTGAAATGAAGGCTCCAAGAGCCCTTGGGGTTCTGCTTTGAGTCACTCCTGGTTACATTATCAATGCATGATCAATATCCTGCTCATACAAAGTCATCGCTTCCATGTGTACCCACATCTTTACCTAGTACTACCCGGCAGGGCACAATGTACTCATCTCGCCTAATGGAACCTTTTGCCATGTTGCACCTTCCACAGTTTCTTAGTACCCTAGCAGCAACCTCGCAAACCACAAATGCCCAGAGCTCGAACACCACCTGGCTTTTCCTCACAGTGATGTAACTTTATGCCCATTTTACAGGTGAAGAAAATGAGGCTTAAAATTTTAAGAGATGCCTGTGGCTGAAAAACAGCACTGGGGTTAAATTCTAAATCTTATACTTTGGCAATACAATCTAAGGGGACTAGAACCTTCTAGAAGATAGGAGAATCATTTCCCTACTCCTTGAAATCCCCTGGTCACTGCTGTTCAAGGCAGACTCATAGATACTGGCTTTTAGGATGTGAAGATTGCTAGGAGCTTCTTGGCTTAGAGGACATTAATGTCATGTATAAGATAACCCAGGACAGCTGCAGGTTCAAAGAGGTTGTCTAGCAAACAAGGCCAATAAAAATAGTTGCATGTTTTTTTTTTCCAAAATTAACATTTGGCTATGTAAGGAATTTAAGGCCCCATCTGTTGCCAATGCCCCATAATTAATTATGAAGTGGTATGTTAATTGATGCTCTTAAACACTTATTAGCATAGATCCCCTAAAACCCTCTACCAGGCAGAAATAGCTGGAAGCTGTGTCACAGATCTCATTTCCAGAACCTCTAAAGGTGATAACCTATCACCTTAGTGTCATTCACTGTGTCTTTACTTTGATGACCCTCCAAGTTAGGTGACTTTCCATTATTCCCAAACTAGTAAACTCTCCTAAAACTGGTGTTTTTGACTGTCATTCATTCCTGGCCATCAAGGGACTTTTGTCCCCTGAGTGCTATCTGGAAGCCCCCAGCAGGAAGCTCCAGTAGTGTTTAACACTTGTTAACAGCTTGTCGGGTCTTGCTGCTGGTGAGGCTCTGGCAAGCTGACACACACAAATTAGCAGCTCCAGCAAAGCCCCAGCTCTGTGGGGGCTAATTACCCAGGAGACAGTGAGATATTTATCAGCATTTCTGAGCCTTGCTTGTCAATGAGGGGAACACTGTATCTTCCCAAGGAACTATAGGTAGACAAGGAAAACTCACAGGGACAGGAGCGTCACCCCTGGAGTCTGGTTCAGATGAGAATCAAGAATCCTATGCACTACTAACACTAATAACTCCCGGACACTGCAGTTCTCCGGGACTCTCAGAGACTCCATTCAGCATCCAAGTACACACCCTAACCTAGAGCTCCTGGTTTTACTTCATCTATTACATACTCATTCAAGACAGCTAGGCAGACATCCTATGATCTCACTTAAAATCTATGTTAAAAATGTGAGCATCCTCTAGAGAAAACCATACCATGCTCTCAAGACAGCTTCACTTTCTTCCCCAGCTCTTCATTCTTCATTCTCCTAACCCTTGCTCTTAAAATCTGTTTGTTTTAAATTTCTTTTAACAAACCCCTACTGTGCTTCATGCTGGTTTGTCTTCAAATGTCTTCCTGCATCAAAGCCAAGGACTCTGGGTTTATCTCCATGAAGGTCAACAAAAAACAAACAAACACAAACAGACAAACAACACTTGAGCTACTGTGGGTAATAACAGGGAACAGTGTCTCTGCAGTGTTGGCATCCTCCAGAAAAACAATGAGCACAGAGAAGACAGCACAGAAGCTACATGTGAAAATGAAAAAAAGAAAATTCTGTTGGCCAGTAAGGTATGTCAAGGCAAAGTATGCATGCTTCCCTGCCACCCCCCCCCACACACACACAAAGAGAGATAGACACACAGAGACAGGGGTAGAATAGCCTTATGTACTAATATGCTAGATCAACAAACACTGATTACTTTTGATGCCTGGCCATGCGCTGGGAAAGAAAAAAAGAAAGGCACGTTCCTGCCTAGGCATACGAAACCTCCAATCCAGTGGGAAGACAGACCTTTAACGGAATGACTGGATAGCATATGATGTGCACTAGGGGCTCTCACCCAAAGGTGTTTTTGGAAGACTCTGGTGAAGGCAGCTGAAGGGATCACAGAAGTATCCCAGGGAGGTTGTGAGAGACACAGGAGAGAGAGAGGGCAGTCTGAGTACCAGGCCCAGCACATGCAAAAGCATTGAAGAAAGGAAAAGAGAGCTGAGCTTTAAGAGACTGAGGACTGTTGGGGAAGGTCGGATGCGACCAAGAAGTAACAGAAAGCCTGGCAGAGAGGCGGGTAGGAAACAGACCACTGCCTACCACCTGCATGGCTTTACCTTACCCTGACAGCTACTGCAAAGTCATGCCCCCAGAGAGTCCAGGTGTGAGCCACTAACTTGGTGTGCCAAACATCACTGGGTTCCTGACACTCTGAAGTGAAATGGGTATGGAGCGGAGAGGTGTATGGGTAAAAACAAGCCAAAGAGACAGGGAAAAAGTTAAGATCCTAAATCAGTAGGAACATGATATAAGTATATCTGAGAAGCAGCATAAATTGGTTCTAGTCAAAAAAATAAAAACAGAAGCCAGATGGCTTTAATTCCAGCACTCAGGAAGCAGAGGTAGATGGATCTCTCTGAGTTGGAGGCCAGCCTGGTCTACAGAGTAAGTTCCAGAGAAACCCTGGCACAAAATAAATAAATAGATCAACAAACAAATAAACAGAGCATATGACTTGCTTAAGAGATAATATTTGCCAACTGCTCAGTATATCAGTTATGTGTCTAGTAACATGACTCAGAGGAGAAACTGGCTTTGGTCTTTGAAGAACTTGCAAATTTAAAAAGGGAAAGAAAATAAAGATACGTGTAACCCTGAGCTAAGGCATGCTGTGGAGATGAACAGGATGAGAGGAAGCAACAGGAGGCAACTAACTCTGACGGGAGTTGATGTTTAATTCTGAAGACTGAGTAGAAAGGATAGAAAAGCAGCTAGGCTCAGCAACCTGAGAATCAGGAAAGAATGCCTGAGGGCACAGCTGGGAAGGCAGAGCCCAGGGAGTCCCCAAGATGGCAGAAATGGTTGGGTTAGCATCTAAAACCTTAGGGTACAGGCAGCCACCAGGCAAGGGGCGAAAATGATGCCCTCTCTGTAGGAATGTGATTTCCTCTGCCTCCTGGAGAGCACCCCGCCCACTAATGCTTAGAAATGTCCAAGACTGTTCCTGGCACGTCAGAGGCCCATATCCACTTTCTGCTCTGCATTCAGGAGAAGACTGGAGAACCCAATCCACACTATATCAGTCCCTAACGGACTTCAACGTAAGGTCAACTCACCTGTCAAGTGGTCCCAAGGCAAAGACCCTAAGGCAGGCATCTTAGGGCTCCCCACATTAGGCCCTCAGTTCCTCTGACAGCACCAACAGTTAAGGAGAGGGCTAGAGGAAGTGCAGACACACCCTCCGAGGAGGGGCCTTGGACATGGGGTGTGTTGCATTCCTGGAAAACAGGGCCCCTGCTGTAATGCGTGTAATCATACCAGAGATTGGACTGCAGAACTCTGCTTCCCATTTATTACAATCACACTCCTGCCCAGGAAACCCCACCCGAGCGTTTGTTTGGCAAGCCTTTCCTTGATTAGGTGTAAATCTTACTATTCCTGCCACTCAAAAAAATAACACATGTGCCTAATGAGGTTGTAGCTGAGAGGCCAGGCCAAGCCTGGACTTCCCTGAACCAGGCCCAGACGATTTCTACTCTCTCATTTCAGGATGATGCTTACTTTTTCCTTTCCTACTCCACAGGAAGAGTGGGAAGTGGGAACAATCTGTACACAGGGAAAAGCAAACTACTGGTCCCTGCTGGAAAGAACCCAGCCGGAGGTATCCACTTTCCCTCCTGGCCCCTGGGCTGCAGCCGACACTGCTCACTCAGCTCTCAGGAAGGCCTGATGGGGACTTCAAATCCCCAGACTTTTTTTTTGTTTTTTTAACAAACGCTGCTCCTGACAGAGCTCATTCCCTGTCTCCAAATGCCATGCTATCTGATTGTCTTTGGTATGCAATTCAGCAGCCCCCCTCCCCTCTTCCTCCCAAAGCAGGGCTGAGGAGTAGGGCAGGGCCAAGTCCCAAGCAGGTCCATCATCATCCAGAGTGCTTGCAGCTTCTGATAGCCCAAATAAACTGGGCGCAGGGCAATCTTACTTCCAAACAATGAATGTCTGAACCAAGAGAAGGACCAATCATTTTACCTGGAAATACATGAACACTCAATTTTGGGGTGGTGGGATTCCCAGGCCAAAGGGTTCCCATACTATCCACCTGAATGCCCGTCCTCACTCCACAAAAACTATTCAGGGAATGAGGCAGCTCTGACCCTAAAACAATTCATTTGTTTCCAGGCCAGGGAATCTAACACCAAGCCCGGGCAGCTTGGTGAATCCATCTACAGAAGGGGAGGAAGAATACGTTCCAGGGCGATGAACAGGCCGAGGAGCCAGGACAGCACTGTGGCAATCTCAGCCCAGTTCACACAGTTCTGGAGCCCTTCGCTTCCAAGAACAAATAGAATCCTCCCTGTGTTCCTAATGGAATCACAGTATCTCAGTGGGTTTCCAGTGCCCTAAGACACTTGACCAAAACACAGTGTGGGTCGGCCATGTGACAACCATGCTGCCTCAGAGCATGTGAGGGAGACAAGACTTCCCACTGGGAAACTGAGGAACAAGGCAGCAGGTAAAGTTAGGGCTAGGGCTAAAATGTAATGGGTCTGGTGAGGCCAAGAAGGGTGGGATCTGCCAGAGAGCTCCTCAGAAGAGATGGGTCTCTGACAGGGTCTCGAAGAATAGGAAGGAGGTAGCTTAACACAGAAGACAAGCAAGGAAAAGCTTCCTCCCACAATTCTTTTAGGCTCTGTTCACACCCCCCTTGGCCTCCATCACCCCCCCCCCAAGTACCTCCTTCCTTCCCAGGGTACCATTCTACAAGGAAAGGTGATGTTCATTCAGAGGATCCAGAATGGGAGGCATCAGAAATGCCAGATCAGCTGGGAATGGCACCGCCCACTGTGGGCTGGGCCCTCCGCATCAATCAGCACTCTAGACAATGCCCCCCCCCCCAAAGACACGCCCACAGGACAATCTGACTGAGGCAATTCTTCATTTGAGGTTCCCTCTTCCCAGGTGAGTCGGGCTGACAACCAAGCGTAGATAACTGCTTTCCTTTTGTCTTTTGTTCCAGGGCTCCATTCTTACTAAGAACCTGTGAGGGGCAAAGAAATAAACGCCTTTCCTCTTTCTACAGGAACTACATCCTGAACGTGGCGATAGGTATTGGAGAGTGAGGTGGTGAAAAATAAATAAGGAACAAGTGGCTCCTTAAGAGGCTTAGAATTTATCAAAATAAATATAGCACGCTTATAGTTGGCCCAATCAAATGCTTGTATCCCCCAGAGTTCCACAGTAGCTAGCTGGATGAGAAAATAGTTTCTAAATGCCACATGCAGGGAAATTTTCCTTGAGAAATGCAATTGAGTTGAAATGTAAAATGCCTGCAGTTCTATAAGCAAGATCAATACATTCTATAAAGGAGGACTGAAATTAGTAAGCAAATTACAACACTGGTTTCCAAAGTTTTAGCAGGTGCCCCTTTTGCAAAGGTAACTATTAGGGAGCCTGGTGAGCAGCAGATCCCCTACAGAATATTCCAGGTGGAATGGGGCCTGGAACCCACCGTTAGGCAGGTCTGAGAGGTCTCTACAGGACACTGGGGGCTGTCACAGCATTAGGACTCAGAGCCTTTGGGTATAAACAGAATCTGAAATTGGTCAAATGAAAGCAATTCCTGACAATAGAGTCTATTATCGAAAAAAGACTGTTTACAAGGTATTAAGGTTATAATTTAAGCCTTTGGCTCTGACCAAACCAGCCCCTCTTGGAAAATCCACATGAGTACCCCATGACATCAAGGTGCCATAGCCTTAGGATACACATGACACATCTCGTGTGGTACAGTTCTCTTCCTTTATATCTGGTTCTTCTTAACTGTAAATTTACTCTGTGCACGAAGCACTCCAATTCCTTTCAGGTGGTTGGATGGATGGCTCAGAAGAGAACTTGCTGTGCAAGCACCCCAGAACACACATAGGAAGCATGGCATGGTGGCATATGTGCCCATAATCACAGCGGCACTAGAGAGGTGCAATGGGGTCAGAGACAGAATTGTGGGGGTTTGCTGACTTTACTAAGGGTCTAGGTTCAGTGAGAGTACTTGTTTCAGAGAGAGAGAGAGAGAGAGAGAGAGAGAGAGAGAGAGAGAGAGAGAGAGAGAGAGAGAGAGAGGGAGGATACCTGACGTCCTCATCCACACATATACAAACTATGTATACACATACACACCAAAAAACGCTCCTTGGAACTGACCACTGGATTTTCTGAACCTCAACCCAGCAAACTGGAGTGTAACTTTGTTTATTTCCAGACAATATGAATGATTTACATATCCCATGACTCTAATCCAGCATGGATCAGGGTCACTGGCCAGACCCCTTTACTCCATTCTCTCCTTTAGAAAAACCAGATAACACATTGGATGCCTAGAAGTCAGCCTTGCCCAAACTATATTCCCAGCATCCTTCAGAGTACCAGTGCTCCAGTATATCCTTGGATGCTTTAGTAGGTTCTAAATTGCTGAACTCCTCAGAGCAGAGGCCAACAGCAGAATCTCAATTAGACTGTTTGTATTTCTTTGTATATCTCACATCACTGCTAAATCCTGGGAGAAATGAAAAAAATGAGAAATATTTTCCCCAATTATAGATAATTTGATATTTAATTCTTAAAAGCAACAAACATTCCTCAGAGAGAAACGAGCGAGCAAACGATGAATCACCAATGCCCCATTAATAGTAAGTACCCCATTAGTGTCAGGAAGACGAGCAGGGCCATTGCTTCAGCCCAGCACTATGTCTCACTGTCAGCAACACAGGCAGAAAAAGAAAATGGGATAAAATGTGAAGGCAGAAAAGCTTTTACTACTTATACTTGAAATGCCTGTCTACCTAGAGTCAAGTGGACTATAGAAAGGCAAATAGGCAAATAGATAATTGGATTTTTTTAAAGTCCCACTCATAAATAATGAAAAAGGATGGAATAAAGATAGGGAGGAAAACAGAGAGAGGCTTTTTTTATTCCATTCTGATTTTTATTTTTATAAAGAAAAAAATAAAGTTGCATACACATACAACAAGCCAAATTATTTTAAATTTTATTTAAGAGCATGAAATAGCATGCTTATTTCTGGGGCTGAAGAGATAGTTCAGTTGTTAAGAGTATATATTGATTGTCCTTGCAGAAGACTCAAGTTTGGTTCCCAGCACTCATGTTACATGGCTAACATCCTTCTGTAACTCCTACTTGAGAGCATATGATGCTCTGGCAACAACAGCAATCTGCATTCATATGAACATATAAGCAAAGGCCATGCTAGGAGCAAACTTGGAATCTCATATGAAAGAGATCACTTCAATTCTAACCTAATGGAATAGTACGATTTTTCTTAGTCAGAACTTACCAACTCAAGAAGCTAGTCAACTTTTTAGCAAACACAATGTGAAAACTTTTCAGAATGGGGGAGATGGCTCATTGATTAGGGTGCATTCATGCAAGCATGAGGACTAAGCCTCCAGGATACATAAACACTAAGAGGTCCTGAAGCCCTCTTGTAATTACTAAAGAGAGAGGATCTCCAGAACAAGCTGACTAGGAGACTAGCTGAAATGGCAAGCTCCAGGTTCAATTGAGAGATCCTGACTTGACTAATAAGGTGCTGAGTGATCAAGGAAGACTCCTGACATCAACCTGGGGCCTTCACATATCTGCCTGCACATGTACATGTACACACACACACACACACACACACACACACACACACCATACATGAGAGGGGAAAATATTTTTTTTCAAATCTACACCTCTACTGGAGCCTTCAGCATCCTCAATTACCATGCAAAGAACTTCTGGGGTCCTGCTAAAGTGCTAAATGAGGTGTCAAGGTACCAGGTTATCAAATCCAAGATACCCCCAAGCAGCCCTTAGCCTTCTGGGCCTGTCTCTTCAGAGGAGGTTTCTTCCTACAGTGAGGGTTGCTCAGCAAACATCCCCTTAGTTCAGTCAACAGCCTCACCACAGTCTTGTTGTCATTTACAGAGGATTTCTTCCTGGCTTGTCTCTAAATGTTGAACAGACAGCCCAAGCCTGTTCTAACTTCTCATCTTACCATGGGAGAAACAATACTCTCACTGGCATCAAAGGTCTGCAGCTCTCCGAGTTTATTGTGGATCACAACTAGTAGCATGTTCATCTCTTTCACAGGGACACTGTTATCATCTCTCTCTATGTTACCCCCATTAAAACTGTAAATCTGAACTCTATGTATGGCTTAAGAGTCAACTAACATTCTGCATGTAGTATTGACAGCTGGTACAAGACCTTGCTTCCTCACTCCAGACCATGGATATCTCATAAGCAGGAATTCCCACCATGGTTATTCTCATAAGCAGGACAATCCACCAGTCCCTGGGTTGTCAAACACATGTAAGACAGCAGCCCAGTGCCCTCTTCTCTTGGACAATGGTGGCAGGGACAAGGGTTAGAGGGCCACGTGGATATTAAAGCGCATCTCACATTTTGATCATTGCATGGACAGCTGTTGTACTAATTTAGATCAAGCATGACCCGGATCGTGTTCATGCATTGCGCCCATCCATTCACTGCTTTTCTACTCAAACAGTGGATTCTTACCATCCCATGTCAAGTCTAGAGCAGGTGGAAAACACTCACTAAGAAAGGGTATATGCTAATACATTTTACAGCTGTAGCAAAAACAAAACAAACCAAAACAAAAATCAGATTAAAATATATCTATTACATGGAGCTGGTAAGCTCTCCCAGAGGACCCAGGTTTAATTCCCACATGGAAGCTCACTCTATTCCCAGGAAACCTGACACCCTTGCCTGGCCTCTTAGAGCATCAGTCAAGAGGAAACACACACACAGGCAATATATTCATTTTCATACACATTTGAGAAAAAAAAAGAGCAATATGTGAGGAAGTCATCTGATTTATAATTCCAGGTAACAATCCATTACAGAGGGAAGCCAAGACAGGAACTTGAGTAGCAAGCCACATCACACCCACAGTCAAGAGCAAAGAAATCATGGATTCTAAAGTGCTTGCTTGCTGCTGCCAGCTACCTATTTCTAGTCCTATGTAGACCAGGGCCAGCCCACAAAACGGTATGCTCACAATTGGCTAGGTCTAACTACATCAAGACAATCTCACACAGACTTGCCTACAGGCCAAAATTATTTAGATAATTCCTCAACAGAGATGGTCATCTGGGTGTGTCAAGTTGACACTCAAAAATAGCCAGCACGCCTTTAATCCCAGCATTCAGGAGGCAGAGGCAGGAGGATCTCTGTGACTAGCCTGATCTACAAAAGCTAGTTCTAGGACAGCCTCCAAAGCCACAGAAAAACCCAGTCTCCAAAAACAAAAACAAAACAAAACAAAACAAAAATAGCCAGCACAGTATCATTGCTAAACCCTGGCATGGGTCAACTGGATTGGTCACAGCTGCACAAGTCCTCAGAGGTCCACAGGTGTGCCCCAAGTAATGACTTGAGGTTGCAAACAAATAAATTCTCAAACACAGATTCTGTGAGTGAGAATTAACTACGTACGTGTTAAATTTATTGAGCATAATCCTCAAATGATAGGTCCAAAGCAGCATAAAATCACAGGCTATAAAAATGCTGTCTCTGCTAAATAAGCAGTTTCCAGCCACAAGTTATTTCATTCCCCAAAGGACATTTGGCAACGCCTGGTGACATTTGTTTACTGTCAAAGCTGGGTCTAGTACATAGAGTTGAGGTGCTACAATGCACTCAACAACAAAGAATTATCTAGCTGCAAATGTCACCAGCATCAAGATTGAGAGCTACTGTCACACTAATGTCAAGTTTTTAACAGTGTAGCTTTGGGGAGAGATTGCTCAATAGCAAGGAGCATTTACTGCTCTTGCAGAGCACCCAGGTTCAGTTCCCAGCAGTGCCCACAGAGCTCATAATCACCTGCAACTCCACTCCAGGGATCTGATACCCTCTAGCCTCTTTGGGTATCT